CTGCGGTGCATGAGGAAGGCGCTGCACGACGTACTAAAACAATTAAATCAGGATTTTAATTGTTGTGGATGTAGGGGCTCCCCAGGGTGCACAATTAAATCATGATTTAATTGTGCACGTGAGGCGCATGGGGAAGGCGCTGCGCGACGCAATAGAACAATTAAATCAGGATTTAATTGTTCTGGATGTAGGGGGTTGCCAAGGTGTCAGACCCGGGCAATTAACTCAGGAGTTAATTTTCTTTAACTCTTGGATCAACTGCCTTCCTTAGGTATGGTCCTTGGGATCCTTAGGATAATTCTGCAGATCCTCAATGATGGCAGTCTTCAGCTCCTGGAAGGTGCCTTGCAGCTTCTCCACCTGCCCCAGGATAATTCTGCAGATCCTCAATGATGGCAGTCTTCAGCTCCTGGAAGGTGCCTTGCAGCTTCTCCACCTGCCCCAGCACGACAGGGCCCATGTCGTGCTTCTTTTTCTTGAGGGTCGCGACCAAGCTGTCCATGCCGGTCAGCTCAGAGCCGACCTGGCTCAGCATGCTTGTCATTCTCTTGTGCTGCTCCTTGTACAGCTGCTCTGGCAAGACCTGCGCCAGCGGCTGTCCCCCACTGCCTTCTGCAGGCAAGCCAGTCCTGGCAGAGGAACTTCCAATCATCTTCTGGGTCGCCTCGCCCTTGAGCTTCTTCCGGATTTCCTCAAAGTCCTGTGCAGCCACCTCGTCGACCTCCTCCTCAAGCTCCAACAACCGCTTCTTGCTGCTAGAGCTTTTGGCAAGGCGGTGCTCGTAGTAGTACTGCTTCACTCCAAGGGCCGCCAAGTTCTCGTCTTCGTGGTCCCTTTCGGGACAGCCCTGGCAGGCAGCTTCCTTCAGCTTGCTGTAGTTCTCGTTCTGGGGCAAGATGCCCTTGAACTGCGCAACCTCATCGTCCGTGAACCATCCCTTCTGGACAGTCTCGTTGTCGTCCTCCTCTTGGGTGTCCTTCTTTGCCACCTTCTTTGCGGAAACCTCTGGGTCCAACAAGCAGACTTCGTAGTAGAAGGCTCGCTTCTCCTGCTGCGACTTGCAACGGCTAAGGCCTTCCTGCAGGCCAGGCTTCCCAGCCTTAGTCAAAGCCTTCAGCTTCTGGTTCATTCTCTTTGCTGCCTTCTCAGGAATGCGAGGGTAGTTGCCTGCAGCATCCTTCAGAGCCAAAGGGGCAGCAGCAGTTTTGGCAGCAGAGGCCTTGCTGTTAGGACTGGGAGCTCCACCTTCACAGGCCCTTTCTTCGGGCCAGCCTTGAGGGCTGAGGCTTGCTTAGCCTTGAGAGCTGAAGGCCTTGAGGCTGCTGCTGTGCCTTCTGCAGGCGAGCCTGCAGGGTCAGCTGGTTCTCCTTGGCCTTCTGCAGGCAAGCCTGCAGGGGCAGCTGGTTCTCCTTGGCCTTGTGCAGGCAAGCCTGCAGGAGCAGGAGCTTCTCCACTGCCTTGTGCAGGCAAGCCTGCAGGGGCAGGTGCTCATTCCAGCCATGACGTCCTAACAAGCCAAAGGCGCACAAAGCTTGAGCCTAAATGATCTGCATGAAATTTTTTGGAGCCAACATGGAAAGCTTGGAGGTGCAGCTGGCCAAATTGGGCTTCTGGAGGAAATTTCAGACCCCAAAAGTTCCTTAAATTCATTTTCTCCAAGGAAAAATTTGCCAGTTTCAGGGAAAAAGTTCCTAAAAAAAGTTCCTTAAGGAACATTTTTAAGGAACTTTTTAGGAACTTTTAATTGGAATTCTATTAGTTTCTATTTAAATTAATAAGGAAACTAATAAAAGTTCCTTAAAAAGTTCCTTAAGGAACTTTTTTTAAGGAATTTTTTCCCTGAAATCTGGAAATGTTTCTCCCCCAAAAGTTCTTTAAGGAACTTTTTTTAGGAACTTTTTTCGCCTGAAACTGGCAAATTTTTTGCCCAGCCCTAGAGTTGCTAGCTCTGACATTGAGGCTTGGCTTGCAAAGTTCGAGCTAAAAAAGTTTCAAGCCTAGAGAGGGGCACCCATGACTACTCAGCCTTCATACTGGCGGTCTACAGTGGATCCCAAAGATAAAGCCTATTGATCCCTGAGCCCTACACTCTACAGCACCCCTAGAACCCTGAGCCCTCCCAGCCAGCTCCACAGATGTTTTCGCGCCTGCGGCTGCAGTGGCACACCTTGGTGCTGGTGGTTTCTAGCTTTGGGTCATGTCTGTTGATTGCTTGTATTTATTTTTTTTGGGAAGATTAATATGCAGGCCGAAAACAGACATGACCCAACTAGCTGTGCTATTTATTTGGGTGCCTTATGCAGGCAAGCCCAATGGGCAACCAAAGCCTTTCCCAGGCTAGGCGCTGCCCTGGCCACTTCCCTGGCCAGCCTCAGACAGCAGATTCCCTGCGCTCTGCAGGGTGCTGGCTGTGCTGCCTGCTACACTGCCTGCTACACTCCCAAGCTCCCAGCTCTCTTCAGGCTGAAGAGATAAGGCATCATCTGCACTGATGCCTTCTGCAGGCAAGGCAGCATGGCCACCTCCTGCTGTGGAAGCAGTGCCTGTTGGATTGGGTGGCTCTGCTAAGGTGCCTTCTTCAGGCAAGGTGCTAGCCATGTCAGTCTTCCTGGGAGTGGCTGGGTAACTGCAAGCTTCACCCTCCAAGCACTCCTGCCACTCGCTCTCACTTTTTTCACTTGCAATACTGCCGCTTTTGCCACAAAACTAGTAGGAGCGGCTGCCCCTGTGCCTTGTGCAGGCAAGGCAGCGCTGCCAGGTCCTGCACTGTCCACCTCCATCTCGGACGATGACTCGCTTTCGTCCTTTGCCCCTTTGCAGTCGTCCAGGGTCCGACTTAGTTTCTCTTGGGTCTTCTTGAGTACTAGCTGGGCTGCGAGGCTGGTTCCTGGTATACTCTTTTGTACTTTCTTCAGGCAAGCCACCTGCAATGCCAGGTGCTGCGCTGGCCTCCAAGCCGCTTTCATTGGTGCCACCACTGGCCACGCTAGCATTGTCCACACCCGGCTCCTCCCCCTCCTCCTGCAAGGGGTTCTCAGCACGAAGCCGCTGTAATCTGGCTGCCAAGTGCTGCTGCAATTCTCCAAGCTCCTTCTCTATGACTACCACCACCATGTGCAGCGCCTTGTCCAGGCGAGCCCGCCGCGGGCACGGGTGCTGGGTTGGCGCTGGGGTTGCAGGAGGGAAGCAGGCATTGTTGCAGGTGTGGCCTTGTCTAGGGGCAGCCTCTCGGGCGGCGGTTGTACTCGATGCGCTCACGCACGCTTTTGGCCCATTTCACGTAGGACTGCACCGAAGTGCCTCTGTTGTAGAGGAAGTCTAACAAGGGAATGCCCTTCCTTTCCAACAGTCGTCTCAAATTTCTTCTGATTTGAGCACGAAAGCCTCGGCAATCAAAACGACTGCAGGCCAGCAGGCTCGTCTCCTGGGTGGTTCTCGGGGCCTTTCTGGGGGTGCCACTGAGAACCTTGCCTCCCCGAAAACCCCTATGCCAAATGCAGGTCATGCGATGCCCGTGGTTTCCGACGACGCCGGTCAGCCCGGTCCTGCAAAGGTGGATGTGGGCATATATGCTACTCCGGAGGAGTACTTGGCCAAGGCCTGCGAACTGGTTCATCCGATAGATGGAGAGTTGTCTGTCTCAGATTGGACGAAGAGGGCAATCTTCGAAGTTCTCACCACGCATCCGGCTGCCATGTCTAAGAGAAGAACTGATTTCCTGAAGAAAGTTCTAGAGAGGCGTGCCCAGCTGGAATCAGATGAAATCGCTCTTCACAAGACCATGGTACCTCACGTGCGTAGGGTAATGAAGGGGAAGAAGCTCCTCCTCCTGAAGTCCCTCTTGGTCGAGTATGGGTACGACGATCCTGGCGTGATGAACGAGCTCATTTCTGGCGCCCCTATGACTGGTACTCAGAGAGTGCCACCCTGCGCAGAGAGGCGAATCAAGCTGGCCTCCTCTACCAAGGAGATCTTGGAGGCGGAGGCCAAGTGGCGCACTCAGGCCATCCTGCGAAGACAGACCCCCGAAGAGGACAAGGAGATACTATGTTCTCTCGGTGACAAAGAAGTGGGCATGGGCTTCCTGTCTGGTCCGTATACAGCTCCCCAGAGGAGGTTACGGCCGATCTGGGCAGATCCGATTGGCTGGTTAACCCGAGGTTCGTGCTGTGTCAAGGCAGTAAAGCAAAACCCCGCGTCATCGACGATGCCAAATCATCCGGTCTCAACGACACCTACTCCTCGGGTGAGAGGCTGCGGCTACAGGACATTGACTACGTGGCTCTTATGTGCTTGCAAGCTGGTCGCATGTCCTCGAAGCCGTTGGTCAGTGTTGCTCTCAGTACTGGCGAAATCTTGACCGGAAAGGCCGCTATCACAAACCCTTCCTGGTTGGGCCGAACATTGGACCTCAGAAAAGCCTACAAACAAATGGCGGTGGTTGCCAGCGACAGACATCTCATGGTCCTCACGCAAGAGGGCCCGAATGGCCGGCTGTTCTACATCTCCGATGCCCTCCCCTTTCAAGCACGGGGAAGCGTGTTCTCCTTCCTCCGCACTTCGAGAGCCTTGTCCTTCTTGATGAATGTGGGCATGATGATCCCAGGAGCGGTTTTCTTTGACGACTTTCCGTCCATCACCGAGACTTCTTCAGCTGGTTCTGCCTTTGACGGGCCGCGCACGCTGCTAGATGCGCTCGGATGGCTGTATGCGGAGGACACGGATAAATGTAAACCTTTTGGCTCGTGCTTTGATGTGCTGGGCTGCCGTCTGGACCTCACTCATCTCACATCAGGAAACCTTGTCCTGGCAAACCGTGAGGGCCGTCTGGAAAGCGCACAGTCCATGGTTGAGAGGATGAAGTCTGAAGACAACCCTCGCAGCTTGATTCCTGTGGTTCAGGGGCATTTGAACTTCGCCTCAGGATTCGTCATGGGACGTGCGCTTCAGATAGCCCGATCCTTGTCGTGGAGGCAGGATCCGAGCCAGTTCGCCGAACTCTGTGACTCCATTTTGGCCACACTGGGCAAATGCAAACCCCGTTCGCTATCCTGGCACTCGCCGCGTCATCCCATCCTCTTATTTACGGATGCTGCCAAAGAGGATGGCGTCGCGGGGATAGGAGCCGTGCTTGTGGACACCTTGGGTGGAAAGCCTGAGGTGTATGATGATGATGGCGAGATACCTGCGGATCTGATCCAACATTGGCAGGCGACGGGACAGCAGCAGGTAATAAGCCAGGCCGAATTGGCCGTTGTTGTTGCCATGCGCCATATGCTCAAGGAGAGGCTGTCAGGTCGCAGGGTTATGTATTTCATTGACAATGAGGCGGCCAAATTTTCTTTATTGAAGGGCACGAGTGGGAAAGAGGCCATGCAACAGCTGACTGCGGCTTTCCATGCTGTTGACTTAGCTTTCCCTTCTATCGCATGGGTTGAACGGATCCCTAGTGAATCCAACCCTTCCGACGCTCCTTCAAGGGGAAGATCAAGCGAGTGTGTCAAGGCACTTTCGGGAGTTTACTCGGGAAAGATTGGCGTGCCTGAGGAAGTGCTCCGAGCGATTAAATCGTCTGTGGGGCCAGCGACTTCCAACGCAAGGCTAACGCTGCCTTTCGACTCTCTTGTCTTGTTGCCAAGCCTCGCTGCCTAAAGCGCTGGGCGGTGGACGGGGCAACCGAGGCATTGCGCAAATCGAACTTGATCAAGCCCCGATGGAAAAAGTTGGGCCGTCACCTCTCTGCGTGTGCATTCTGTCTTGTGAACCAACCTGTGAGTGTTGCGACTTGTGAGTATATTCAGTTTATGATTGAGATTGGGTTTGAACTTTTAATATACTTCTCCTGCCAAATATTTGGGCGCATTTGGCATTCGTGAGAAACTTTCACAAACCGGGTTTTCAGAGAATTCAGCCAAACTCTTTCGTTGTGTGGGCATCCGGGAAACACAAAACCAAGAAGCAGGGCGTCAACGTGGTGATACCCCTTTCTTGTGTTTTGCGCAGCGAGTCTCGAGCGTTTCCCGTTTTATTGAAAATACCTTTTCCCTGCCCACGCATGAGTTTTCGTGGCTGAATTTTTATGACTCTGAAACGTTTTCCGGGTTGATTCAATGAGTTGTGCCTTGAGCATTTGATATCTCCTTTCATGATGCCATGAAATGCTCAAAGGAAAAATTTTTCTTCCCGCCCGCCGTCCCCCTCGGGGCAACCGAGGCATTGCGCAAATCGAACTTGATCAATCCCCGATGGAAAAGGTTGAGCCGTCACCTCTCTGCGTGTGCATTCTGTCTTGTGAACCAACCTGTGAGTGTTGCGACTTGTGAGTATATTCAGTTTATGATTGAGATTGGGTTTGAACTTTTAATATACTTCTCCTGCCAAATATTTGGGCGCATTTGGCATTCGTGAGAAACTTTCACAAACCGGGTTTTCAGAGAATTCAGCCAAACTCTTTCGTTGTGTGGGCATCGGGAAACACAAAACCAAGAATTACCTTTAGTTTCAGGAAGGGCTCGACAGGCTCCACAAGGAGGTCCGTGCGGCTACCAAGATCGACGCGCTCACGGGGGCGCTCATCGAGGAAGTAGATCGTCAACAGCAATTACCAGAAGATTTCTATCTTGGAAAGATAAGCAACGTACTTCCAGTCAAGATTTTAGACAATGGAAATCTCAGTATAAGGATTCCACCCTGAGGACACACGGTGATCAGAATCCTAAGCCCCTGGTTTGTCCAAAGCCGGCAACGCAAAGTAGGCTCTTTGCTCAAGCCCGTAGGTTTGGTAAGTCCTGTAATCAGTTGAGATCCTCAGACAAATCAGTAGCAATGCCAGTTCCTACTGGATATGACCTCGATCTCGCCACATGGAATGTTGAGGGATTGAGGGAGATTGCTAAGTGTGATCAAATCCTTACATTCGCCAAGAGCAGACAAATCCAGTTGTTGGCAGTTCAAGAAATTAAGACAAAATCAGTTAGTACCTTCCAAAAATCTGGATGGGAAATCCTACATCCTGGAGCCCCTAATGCAAGACATCATGGAGTAGGTTTCTTCGCTTCCCCATCCCTACGACTTCATGTCAGAGATTTCCTGGCTTATTCCCCTAGAATATGTGAACTTACCATTCACACCAACCCACATCCCATCACAGTGTTTTCGGTGTATGCTCCCAGCACTGTTGAGGATTCGACGGAAGATATCGCTCGCAAGGACCACTTTTGGTCCCAGCTGGATTCTATTATTACGGAACATCGTAACTCCTCGTATCTTCTTATCTTAGAAAACCTCAATTCTAGATTGGATGGTTTGATTGATCCAGATCAAGACCATATCGGCCCACATGTGTGGGGCCAGAGACAGAGTATTGAAGACCCCCATGTGACAATGCCTTATACTGTTTATGATCTTATGCAATCGCATCTTCTCATGCTTCCCAAGACTTATCAGGAGTTACCGTCATCAAAATTGGTTTCGTACAAGGAAATGACCTCTACGACGGACTTCTTGGAGGACTTCGAGGTCACGGATTGGACCACGCTGGATTATGGGGTAGCTTCTCACCCGATATTTTCAGATCTTCAATTTAGTGGGTCCATCTTCCAACAGGCAGTCAATTCTAGACACCTTCCGCTTTTATTTAGATATCGTACTACCTTTTTACCCATCTCTTCTGGCCCACCGGCTCCACGATTGGATTATTCTCATACGGAGGAATTTTACGCTTCAGTTGAAGCTAGTTTACTGCAGTCCATAGGATGTACTCTATGCAATGAAAACTCCATGGGACAGTATTTAATGCATATACAGATGGTTCCTGCCCAAACAACCGCACGGTTGGCCCCGACAACCCAGCAGGTTGGGGATTCACTACCTACACCTCAGGCTCCCCATTTGTAGACCATCGACATGTGGATTCTACGTGGCAGTGCTCTTTTGGTCTGGTAAAGACCACCCCTTTAGATGCTCATGCACTAGTTCCCCTAGATGGCTCTAACAATACGGGGGAGCTTAAAGCTATTATCGAGCTCTTTGACTATGTCTCATATTATTCTCAGCTTCCCCATGGATCTACGGTAACGGTTTTCATTGACTCACAGTATGTTATTCGCCTCCTACAGGGCGACTTCCTTCCAAGTACACATCAACAGTTTGTGGAGCTGTCTCACCAATTTTTACCGCTCTTAGAGCCGTGTACCAAGTTACGCTCCTCAAAGTCCCCTCACATGTAGGCATCCCTGGCAATGAATTAGCCGACTCTTTAGCCAAAAAAGGAGTCAACTCTTATGGCCAGTTAGGTCGTTTTTCTTCTCCCAGAACTAGATCTCTCTCTCCCCCCGAAATTGGGTAAAATTCTCATTTATGGCTAGCTAAATCTCCTCAGGAACAATCGGATTTTATCGTATCGCTCTTGAAGGAGTCACAGCCTTTAGTACCAACTTTACCTATTTCTCCTAAGAAGCCTTGGGTCTCGGACCGTACGTTGGCTTTCATCACAGACTTTCAGGACTCCACAAATCTCACAATGCAAGAACTAAAGACACTCCGTAAACGTATCAAGTAATCCGCCTCCCGTGATAAGAAGCAATTCATAGCTGCGCACTTACAGGAAGAGTTTCGTGGCTCATCTATACAACAATGGAGGACCGCCAGACAGATTCGTAAACCTTTTGTTCCCCGCTCTACTAATTTATCTGACATCCATGGCATGCTTCAGGCGAAGCAATCCCGTGCTACGACTTTCGCGGACTACCTTTCTACTGAGGTTTGGAAGGCGCCCAATGACTCCGAGGAGATTCCCCCCTCCCCACAGGAAGAAGTCAACTGTTCGGCTCCTTTTACTATGGCGGAGCTCAACATCGTCTTAAGGTCTCTTAGTAAAGGTAAAGCTCCGGGCCCTGATGGAATCCCTCCTGATTTGCTGAAAGGCTCTCCATATATTCTTCGTCTCTTTTTACTGGATCATTTCAACCATTGTCTATCCACTGCATCTATTCCCGACTCTTGGGCCCTATCGGAAGTAGTCATGATTGTTAAAAAAAATTCAGCAAGATACCAGAGACCTCTCTAACTATAGGCCCATTTCTTCAACAAATACCATGTACAAAATCTTTGCCTCCTTGATTCAGAAGCGTCTCTCACACTTTTTTGATGAAAGAATACGCTCTACACAATATGGGTTTAGATCCCGGCGATCTACCACACAACCTATTCACATTATGCGCCGTATACAAGAGGTTTTTGAGAGACAACAACACTCATTACATGTCCTATTTCTAGACTGGTCCAAGGCTTTTGATTCCGTTACTTTCGCGGCAATACGATCCGCGCTCCTTCACTTTGGGGTTCCTCCTTTATTTATAAATGCAATTATGGTTCTTTACTCCTCCCCAAAATTTACTGTTAACACCTCAGAAATTTACTCGCAAACTCGAGGACTACGCCAGGGCTGCCCCTTATCGCCCTATCTATTCAACTTTGTTCTTACTCACTTGTTTGCGGATGTTCAGACCAAGTATATCTCACAGTATGGGTTGCCGTCAGGGGTTATCAATCATCCTTTTCCTTTCGGGGATCTTGAATACGCGGATGACACGGCATTGCTGTCTAACTCAGCAGAGCAGATAACCCGACTCTTGCATTTATTGCAGAGAGAAGCAGCAGTTCGCGGACTCCTTCTAAATTTAGACAAGTGTGCGCACTTAAGACTACATTGTGAAGAAAGAATACCGTACTCCCCATCTCTCTCTTCAGTGTAATGTTTGCTCAGGCGATTTCATATGTGACCAATACGTACCGATCTCGGATGAGGTCAAGTATTTAGGCGTTTATTTGGACTCCCTTTCTAATAACAGAAGAAATGTGTCTTATCGAATATCACAGGCGGTCTCTTCCTCCAAATTGTTGAGACCATTGATGGTACACAAAGCGTTTCCTCCGTCATGGAAGCTTACAGTTTATCGATCCATCGTACAGCTTATTCTCCTTTGTGCTTTGGAGAGTGCACAATTATCCCTTACTCAGATTACAAAGTTAAACCATATTCATTTCAAGTCACTAAGGCGTATTTTTGGTATCAAATCTTCATTCTATCATAGAGTTATCAACCCATCAGATGAGAATTGTTTGAACCAATACCTAGCTGGACTCTCATTTTCAATAAGGGTCATTACCCCAAGCCAGCCTTACTCCCAAAATCGACTTATGATATTAGGACATTTATACAGACATCCGCAATCCCTTGAATACCACTCCACATTCATGCCCTCAGGACAATATCGGTACACGCGAGGGCCGAATAGGGTCGGAAGACCACGTCTGCACTGGGCAGAATCAGCTCTGTCGGAGGCCTCATCTAGGATTATACACCTCAACTCAGATCAGGCCCCCTCACATTACGATATCCATCACTGCTTCTTTCACATTCCGAATATCTCTAACGTACGGCTCACCCATGTCTCCAGCTCCCTTATTTGGATGGACAACACCACTCCCTATCGTAGAATGCAACCACGAACTCGAAACCGGAGAGAATGGGCTAATATAGTTAGTAAACCCCCTAGCAAAGCCACTACGTAGACAGTAGCCGGTGCTGACGGCCTGAGACGAAAGGCTTGCGCAGAGCAAAAAAAAAACAACCCCACCTCCACCCCCAC